CAAAGGAAAATTTTCAAACGCAACAAAATAAATGCATTTAAACTGCCTGTTTGTGACACTTTACTTTCCTTTTGTTCATTTCACACCTGGAAATTTGATGTCGTGCCAGCCACTACTACCATTGTACAGATGAAGGTAAATGGTGTCTGTGATGTCTTTTTTCTCTAGCAGCTTTCATCATCATTTAAATTTTAATGCCATTAGGGGCAATGATACTGCAGTCTTACGCAATTCAAAAACACAGACAGACTCCAGGTTTAAAAGTGTTATATTAGCAGAGTGCTGTATGGGTGTTGATAAGACCAGTTAAGACCATGTTTGTACAGGATGCTGTACATACACGGTCTTATCTCGGGCACATGGCATGACGGCCGCCATCAATTGGCAGGTTGACTCCAGTAATGAAGCTGGCAGCATCAGATGCCAGGAAAGCAATGCTGTGGGCCACTTCTTCCACCTCGCCTGGTCGACCGAGGGCATGGGTCTGCTTACACTTATCAAGAAACTGGTGGTAAAAACATAAAACAATAAGAAAATAATGCTACACTTTTGGTTCTGTTGCTAAAAAAAGTTAAAGAAATAGATCCTCACATTTGAGATGACTTGAGTTGCATGACTGAGATTCTATACATATTTATTCAGCTGAATACAGTAAATATTACCTGGGTATACTGTTCGTCATTTAGTCCCGCTCTCTTGTGGACATCGGTGATGATCACACCAGGACTGAACAAATAAAATCAGAAATGAATTTTTTCTCCCCATCAGAGTTTTGGACAGTCAAACAGCACAGAATTGAAAGCAGTTTTCACACATGGACTCTTGAAAAAGTTTGGAGAACCAGTTCAGGAGTTTGAAGTTGCCCCTTCTTTGTAGCACACAGCAGCAGGTAAATGGACTGATACTTATACAATACCTTTCTATTCAGTTGAGCACTCAAAGCACTTTCTACTGCAAGTTCCATCCACCCAATCACACACAAAATCACACAGTGCTTTCTAAGCACTTTGTAACAGTGGCGCGCACACTCGCACTCCGATGGATGCATCAGGGGTGCCTAAGAACACTTCGGCACGAGGCTGGATGAGTCAGAGATTGATCCACTGACCGTTCCAATTGGGAAATGACTTGCTGTGCCACCTGAGCCACAGCCGCCCACGGGAGTTGCTTGAGATGTCAAATTCTTTGTTTGGTTTAAACCAGGGTGCTGCATCGTTAGAGCAGGCAGGAGGCATATGATGCCCACTTTGCTTGTGCTATTTTCACTATTTTCACTTTTATCAGCACTATCTGCTGAAAATCTGAAAATGTGAAGGGCCGCACTGCACGTTTGAAAAACTTCTTATTAAAAGAAGAATGAGAAATGAATGTGATCATAAATCTGAACCTGTGCAACGATAACATGTTTATTGCACTTACCAGACAGAGTTCACTCTAACCTGCTTTGATGCCAGCTCTGAAATTTAAAAAAGTAGTTATATGATGGGCCATTCTTATATGCCAATGCAAACTTTTATATTGCTGTCCACATGAAGGTAATAAAGAGCTCACCAAGTGCTATGCAACGTGTAAACTGATCAATAGCAGCCTTGGACATGCAATAGGCCAACACACCAGGGAACTACAGAGAGAAAAATTACACTTCTTTGAAGATGCTTTATAACACATAAGTTCATAAAGATATTTCATATGGATGGTGCTGTTTAAATATTGCGTCTACATGCAGAGTACCCACTGATCTCTGTCCGTTCACACTGGATACATTGACGATGGAGCCTTTGGTCTTGATCAGGTGCGGTACACAAAGTTGGGTCAGGTGGTATATAGATCTGTAATATATGAACTAAAATTACTTTTAAAAGTCTTTGAACATTAAATATGCAGTTATGACTCAGTATAATAACCAGTGCTTGGTCAGTTAACATCCTGACATCTGTGATTGGCTTCACCATTGTAGTAAAAGCAGTATCTCACCAAGGCCTACATTAATCAGGCTACATCCAGTCTAGACAGCTGATGAATGGTTCTACTGAGATAATGTTCCTGTCGATAATGGCAGTGTTAAATCTGTATTTGCACAGAATTCACTTTCTGCTTGTGAATTCCAACCTGTTTTTACAGCACAATAGAATTAATGTAGGACTAAATGGATCCTACATTAGAAGGATTGGCCATCCTAAGTATGTAAAAAAATCGACTTCAAAAGGATACCGTGTTCTTATCAATTGTTTAACATTTTATATTTTAGCAGCCTCACATTTTCATACATGCAGCTTCATTGTGTCCATGGTGTGGAAAAATGGTTAAACATGCTTAATTCTACTTTTCAAGCACGCATGCACACGTTAAAGAGAAAGCACTGCTAAACTGCTCACAAAATAATAAAATATTAACTGTTAAACGTCACGTACAGTTTAGAATATTTAAATAAAATAAATATCATATTCAGTTGTATTCAAATGCAGCATCTTAAAAAATACCCTCACAGGTTGACAAGTATCATTATTATAAAGATATTCTTAATATATGAAGAGTGCCATGTAATAAATGATTTCTCTTTCCCAGTTTTATATTTAACCTCTTCTTTAATCAACAACTATATGGCTTTGTGAAACTGACACCAATACATCTCCTACATAAAGCCAGGTCTCCTACCTCACATTAACGTTCATGACCTTGTCATACTGAGCCAGGTCTGTTGTCTCGATGCTGCCCATTGCCAGTATGCCAGCACTGTTGACCAGCACATCCAGCCGGCCGAAGTGAGCGATAGTTTTCTCCACCGTGCTTTTTACAATCTCCTCATCAGTCAGGTCTCCAGGAACGAGTAGAGGCTGCATGCACACACAACCTTTCATTAAGAACTGGTTTTTAAATTAGTTATAAAGTTGACAAAAATGTATGCCTTCAACACTAAAGTAACAGTAAATACAGAACAAACTGTTTTGTTAATGGCACAAATAATGGTCAAGTAATAACAATAGTGGCACCAGCCTTAAAAACTGCTTCTTTACACTCACCAGTCACTTTGTTAGTTACAATGCAAATATCTAATTAGTCAGTCTCTGAGTATTTAGAGTATTACTAAATGCAACACATTAAACCTTGAAATAGATGGACTACCACAGCAGAAGACCACACAGGGTACCACAGCAGGTGCCATTCCTGCTGCTTTGGATGGTAGGCTCAGAATTTGGCGTAAACAACATGAAAGCACAGATCCATCCTGCATAGCATCAAAGGTTCAGGCTGCTGCTGAAGGTGTAATAGTGTTTTCTTGACACACTTTGAACATGAAAATGACTTTGCACTTTGTTCAAATGCCCTCCAAAATGACCAGAGTCCAACAGATGAGCTCTGGCATTGTGGTGAAATGGGAGATTTGTAAAATAGACATGCAGGAGACCAACCTGCAGCAGCTGTCTGACACTATCAAGTCAATATGGACCAAAATCTCCAAAATGTTTCCTGTATGTTCTTGCATCTATGCCGTGAAGATTTAAGGCAGTTGTGAAGGCAAAAAAGCTACTAGTAAGGTGTAACTTACAAAGTATACAGTAAGTAGGTATATGCATCTCTATGCTTGTTTTTGTAATTCTGATGTAGTTACAAACACTAAAATTGTTTAATAACTTAGTTCTGCTCATTAAATTGACCTGCTGTTGGTCATTAAATTGACCACCAGGAGGTCACAGGAGGTTGTACCAACCGCTAGAAAATGTATAAAAGTATAATATTTTTATTACAGCATCCAACTTGTGTTTATTCAACTACATTATGGAAGTGTGTGCATATATATATGAAGCATACTACGTTATGTACCTCGTCGGCTCCACAGTCTGTGCATTCTTTGGCTACTTTGTTGAGGTTTTCCACATCGCGGCCGTTCAGAGCCAGCAGAGCTCCGAGTTTAGCGAACAGGACGCTCGTACCGGCTCCAATTCCCGAGCTGGCGCCTGTTATCAGGGCCACTTTCCCCTTCAGAGATGACACCTACAATGCACAGCAAAAACACTTCCAAGTCTTTCTCCAAGGTATCTTAACTTGCAGAAATAAGCCCGGATTTCGTTCATTTTTGTTGCCCTTATTAGCCAGGTCCCTCTTGGAAGATAAATGTAACTCTCAATGAGTTTTCGCCTGGATAAAATAAATGAATAATAATAAATACATGACCAAACTCATAAATGAGCAACCATGAAGGACTGTAAACCCACGCAAGGCAATAAACTTACTTTAAACGCATCACCTGTAGCCATGATTTCTACCAGGGTCCGCGTGACAGTTGTCCACTACTGATGACGCAATGTGACGCAATAAGTCATTTGTAGTTCAAACTAGTTCTTAGGACTACAAGATGTTAAGCGGACTCTCACGGAAAAGATGCTGCATGTAAAACATATTCTGAAAACATGCTAAAATCAAAAATGTTTTTATTATAAAAGTTTTTTTTTTTTTTTTTTAAACACGCAACATTGGCAATTTATTACATTCCCCTTTAGAGTACTTGAATAAATGGAAAGGAACCTGTTAAGGACAAAAATAATTTCAAAACTGATTTAAAGCACAGACAGTGTAAAATACGGATACATCTTCGTCTGAAAGGTGAAACGAACTTCAACCTGTATATCTTTTTAACGACCAGCAGGAGGCGACTCGTAAAGTTCCAAAAAGACTTGCGTTTACAAAGAAGTCTATGGGGAAACAATCCTCAGCTCCTTTGTTATGTAACCTCAGCAAACACTTTCCTGATAACTTTGGGTTCAACTGCTAGTTTCAGGTTAACTAAGTAAATCATAATCAGTTTGTAAAATATAGTAATTTTTACAACCAGAAACTAAGAAATTTCCACGCTATTTTCACTGGTTAACAACATATCATTCATGTGTCAGTAAGAAGTGTGTGGCCTCCTCTGGTCTCCTGTTTAGATCCACCTCCATCTTGTGACAGTCAGCTTCAAAAAACAACTTTGAAACACTTCAGAATGAGACTTCACTAACCAATGGGTGACATCATGGTGGTTACATCCATATTTTATTTTTTGTTTACAAAGTTTATTGTCTAAAGGAAACAAGACATCCCCCTGATTTATATATACTTTTTACATGAAGTTGCAAAATGAGGAACTACACCGTATAAAAGTTAAGACAATTTAACACTTTGTAGCTTTGAAGTCAGCACTCTGCCCACTGTCTGGGCATGTGAGTGGACTCTCCAGTTCTACCATTTGAAAAGTATTTCGACTTTAGCAAGGCAACAAGCATTGTATCATATGAAAGTGAAAATCTGCTATCCAGCAAAAGGATTAGCATGAATGGTGACATCCTTTATCCGAGTTTCAGTCAGTGGCCGGAACGTCTTTTCATTCACAGGCAGCTTCTCCAGCTCATCCAGTGTTTCCAAGCCGTCTATGATCCTAAATTTTAGAGGGTAAGCAGTCAGCAAATGTTTCAATTTTACCTGAGGTAACAAAGCCAGTAGGTGGTCACACAATCATAAACCTGTTTTGTTGGCTTGCATAAGATGCTTACTTTCCAAACACTGTGTACTTCATGTCCAGGTGAGGCTGTTTGGCATAAGTGAAGAAAAACTGGGAGCCATTCGTGTTGGGACCATTGTTTGCCATGGAGACCACTCCTCTTACATTATGCTGAAATCAGAAGAACGAAAAACATTCCCACAGAATGACACTTGGGTAAAACCAGCTTAAACCAACTAGCTATAGGATTTACTCACTTTTAAGTGTTCACTGAACTCATCCTCAAATTTACGCCCCCACATGCTTGTTCCTCCTTTACCTGTACCTGGAGGTTTTAATAAGAAAACAAAGATGCAATGAACAGGAAGTTCATTTTATATATTTTTTTGCCACTTCAAAAACAACAATAACATCTGTACCTGTAGGATCTCCAGTCTGAACCATGAAGCCCTTTATATTTCGGTGGAAGACGCAACCATTGTAGAAGCCGCTGGCACACAAAGCAAGAAAGTTCTGCAAAAAAACACCAGCAAAATTAAATGCAAATTCTTGTATTTGTCATGTTTTTAAATTACACTTACAAATGTTATTATTACATAAAAAAAAAAAAATGCAATCTTAAACACCTTCATCGCCCTTAAGAATTGACTATCTTTATTTACCTGACAGAATACGATCATTTCTGAGTCTAGATTGTAAAGAACTTTATCTGCCAGAGGTGACCACATCACCCCTCTTCCATCTTCATTACAGACAGTATATCTTAGAACTGAGTTTTTAAATTGAGTTTTTAATGCTCTTTGTAGTCTTGTGCCATGCTGGAAAGTAATTCCGACACATCAGGTGCACACAAATCTGAATAAAGTCTGAAATCGGGTCAGTAACCTCTTAGAAATGTCCTACATCAGTCCAATCATTCATTTGATTTGATTTATCAATAATCATCATCATCATTTACACCTGCATTCAATTCAGAACTGGCACGCCTTTGGACTGTGGGAGGAATCCGATAGACCCATGCACACACACAGGACCAACATGCAAACTTCATACAGAAAGCCCCCAAATTGCATTTTAGCGTACTTTCGTACTACAACAACACAAGATCCAAGTGGGTTAGGATAAACGCCATCCCACCTACGACCCTGAATTAGTGGAAGAAAATAAATCGAGTGCTGGATCATCTTACTTTTTCACGTAAAGGTCCATAAAATGTAAGAGTTTTAAAATAAAAGGCTTGATTGCTAGGGAGAGTTAGGGTGAGAAATACATTTACCTCACATGCCCTCGGTGTGCGCTCACAGAACAATTCAATTTTAATGTCTCCTAGATCTGTGTGAAGTGTAACAGCCTGCAAAATAGACAAGAACATCAAAAACATCACGAAGACAAGGAAATTCTCCCGAACTTCAACTTCCACTACTTGACTAGCTTAGCCTGCTATCGCAAAGAACTACATTATTACACAATGCTTTAAGTGACTCGTAGCCTGTTTAGAACCGTTATAACGTAATATTAGGAAACAACCTCAATTTGACAAATAGCGACTGTAAATGCGACAATGGAACTCACCATTTCAAATGTTGCGTCTGTGAATAAGTGTGTCGAAGAAACATGTCCGTGTGGGGATGGGTATCCAGCGGTGAATGGTTCCGCAAGGAATTTTCACAAACAAAACGAGAGGCGCAGACAATTGAAAAATTAAAGAAAAAAAAAAAAAGAGTCACTGGCACTAACAGTGAGGGGAGGGACATTTTGCTGACATGGTTTGGGCGTGGTTGTCCAGTTTCTGGAAATGGCCCTTGTAAAAAATTGTTAATGAGTGATCTCCTTTATCCTATGATGAAGGATTTTTGTAAAGGTGGGAGTGGTATCTTCCTGCATGACAATAGCTTTGCCCATGAGGGCATAATGGGTCAGTCACTAATGGCTCAGTCACACTAGAGTACAAATAGGATAGCCTAGTCATTGTGACAAGGAAATTTCAATTTGTAGGTTTGGTCATGCCACTATCTCCAACCTCTGTTTGAACGTGTGTGACTGTAGCATGATATGGGTCTTTGCAGCCAGTTGAACACCTACAGTATGAGAGATGTTATACTGGTATATATCAACCAGTGCCAGGGGTTCCATAGTGTGGTGGTTTACACATTTGCACACTGGTCAGTATCTGTATCTGCACACTTGCACATCAAGCTAAACCTTTATGTAATTGTTTAACCCTTCTTGTGCAAAAAGCCCAACACACACCAAGACAAATGTGGCTTACTTCATTTTTTTATTTTACTGGAGTCAGTGGTGTACAAGAAATGAAGAGAAACATGTTCAAACACACTCAACGTCAGTACTGATGCATTGATGATGTTCCTTTGGCAAAAAACAAAACAAAACTGCACAAAACCAAGTGTGTCAAGATAACACGTCTGAGAGAAACAGAGAAAGATGCAAAATTATTTTGTACCCAAATTAAACATTTTAAGAGGAAAAAAGACAAATTAAAAATAGAAAACAGAAACCAAAGGGTAAAGAAGTCCCATTAATCAGACAAACTACTTGGGCTTTATCTATTGCTCACAATAAAGACAATTCAGACATGAGATGTTTGACAAAAACACAAGAAAGGTCAAATAAAGTGGTTTCTCCTTGAAAATACAGATACACTTAGTTTCAATTCAGCAGTTAATATTAAATACACAAAACTAAAAAATAATGTATAGAAATTTGATATAAAAATGTTATCACAACCGTTTAAATTATTAAAAGAAATAATAATAAAAAAATAATACCGTAATAATAATAATAATAATAATAATAGGCAATCAACTAAAAAAAAAAGTGAGTACTGGCTGCTTTCCTGAGAAATTTAGTTCTACAATAATCCTAACAGATATCAAAATTAAAATAATAAAATTAGTCTAATAATAAAAATGAAAAAAGAAAGATTAACAGTGACTAAGACAAAAACATGTTTATTTAATGTTACTACACTATGCACTGACCACTTATTTACAGTACTGATTGCAACAAATCACTCAGAGGTGATGACATGATGTCTCTTTTAAATGGAATAGTCGATTGTCTTACTAAATAGGTGTATTGCTAATGTGTTTGTGGGTGTCATTCAAAATGCTCCACTAAAGACCAAAATTCATCTCTTTTTTTCCTTTTTAATATTTCTATGTAAAAGCGTAAACTTAAATTTAATCTCGTGGCTGGCAGTCATTCAGGTAAACCTTCCCACACTGGAAAATGCCCAAAACAGGTTTTTCTATGTGCATACAATAACTTGTACACTATTGTTTGCAACACCTAAAAGTAAGTTCTGAGAGAAGTGCTATAGTGCAAAAGCATCCTTTAAGCACAACGATCTCTAATCTACTTAATGTGAAAATCTCACCATGTCTTTAGTAAAACCAATGTGACAAAATGAATACAAATGCACATTAGAAATCTACGGTATATCGTTACTAACAATACAGCTTAAATAAATGTAATACTGCACAACATAGCATAGTCAAACATGTCACGGTTATAGATGCGCATAGCTGAAATGTTTTCTATTATGTATATTGCTTCAGTCAATCTTTATTAGAACAGGAATTGTATTTTTCTTGGGGTAAATACGAGAATTCCTGTTGTGTGTTGTGCTGCATCAGAACTGTGGATCAATAACAAATTCCAAATTTTTAGCTTTGTCTTGGTCACTGTGTCAAAACAAAAATACAGAACAGTCACTCTCAATTGAGCAAAAACAAGTAAACCTTTACCTAAAAAATCTCTCTTTCTTAATTAAAAACTAGTGAAGGTTAAATATGCTTTTAACTGTGAGAAATAAAGTTCATATTTTGAGAAAAAGAATGCACTGGTTACTTCCAATTAAGTCTGATTATTGATTTAAAAAACAAAACAAAAAAACATATCTTTTCTTTTTCTTACATCTGGTACTAAAACAAAGACGGGTATAAAAACAAACAAATAAAACCCTTCCCCAAAACCCAGAACGTCAATGACAAAGTAGCTTATCTGACACCCGATCCATCACAACTCAGAGGTTATTGCCCATAAAACAACAAATGACCTTGATCTTGAGCATAATTTAGATGATGATTCATTGGGTTATTGTGTGTGCAAGCTTGATTATATTGTGACTAATACTGTCTTTTGAATGAACAATGCACTATGGATGCCTGGCATAAGCTCAATGGTCTTTTGGACAGATGAGCTTTTAAAAAAAAAAAATAAAAAAAAATCAAATCAAATAAATAAATAATAATAAAACATTAATAAACTACACTTTGTGCATCTTCAGTAACCAAAATCTAAACTCAACAGCTAGGTACAGCCTTGTAGAAGTTTTACCGGACAGCTTAAATTAAGGAAACTATGACAACAAAAGCTCCATCACTATCTGGGGCTTATTATTATGGTGCACTTTGAAAAACTAACAATTTTCATCTGACCAGACAACAGAAATATAACAATCAATGCATGACAACGAGAGGAGAAAATAAGGCAACTAATCTGATCAACTTGTAAGATTTACTTCATTTTCTTTTCATTTAATTGGAATGCAGGTTGATTCTGTAGCAGTAAAATTTCAAATTTCTTTACTACTAGCTTTTTAATATCAGCAGAAAACAGTAAAAGAGACTTTTATCCTCACCTCAGTGAGTAATATGTAACATTTCCAACATTTAACATTTAGGATGTGTGTTTTCTCACACATAGGTGAGCAGCTTCTTCACTGAACATTGCACACTAATGCAGTCCAGTAATAATAAAGTAACAGAATTTGAGTATAGTAACAAACTAAAATGAACATGAGGCTAGGTGCTTAAAAAATACATTTAAAGACATGATGACATGTCTGGTCTTTCTTATTTGTAGCTATTGAGCTATCATTGCTTATCACCAGTGATTCTTTTTACATCTGTTACAAAAAAACGAAGCCCCAATCTCATTTAAGCCTCTACGTTTGACAGACATATTACAAATACTTTCAGGCTCCATTTGAATTTCACCACTGTCATTCTGTATAAACTTAATCTGAATTCCTGTGAGGCAGACACGACTCATCTCATTCAAAATCTTTAAGCATTCCCCCGCATTTTATTTTGTTATGTGCAAGTTATTGCAAACATATCATATACTTTTTTTGCGAAAATGTTATTTTCCATTAAAGATATACTAGCAGTAAGGTTAGGGTATTCTGATAAGCTTCACTAATGCCATTTTAATGCTAGTGCAATAAGTGATATGCAGCAGAATAATTGCTTTTCCTTTAGCACTAGGTCAAACACACATCTTTCCATAGAAAGAGGGAACCGAACCCTACATTCTGCCAAATTGTCCATTCTAGTATCAAAAGATGATCAGCCAACCAACCAACAAAAAGCCCTTTAGCGCTACAATACTAACAGTGTCCTCAATGGCCTTCTTCTTCCCACTTTGTAAACCACCTTTAGGTACAAGGCTCTCAGTATAATCATATTCCACTCATCTATAGTTATTACTGTTTTGTTAAGTCATACTATCATATCACTCTTAATAGTGTCTTTGTAACTCAAAACAAGTGATTATCGTCTATATACAGAAATAAAGATGTCTTGGAAGTAATTTTGCCATCTCATTGTGCCTTCAAACCGGAACACCTGACAAAATATTTTAATGTATTAAACCTTATTTTTTTAGTATTGATCAGTGGCATACACTGTCTTCTATACCATAATCGAGAGGCATAAAAATGTAAACACAAGATTCAAACTATATTATTGCTAAAAAAAAAAGCATCATTACTGAATTATAATGTAAAGGCCTGAGAAGTTTTTTGTGAAGGAATTAATAAATCAAATAGACTAAGAAGACAGCCAGAAACTGCCA